TCGTTTCAGTCTGAATCACAAAAGACTTTACTCAGGAGTCTTTTGCGAGTCGGCCAGGCGTAGATTGTCCATTCGGCGGCATGCACGTGGAGAGGACGTGCGGGATATGTCTGTCGTGTTGATGCGTTTGCATAGGAGTGGTCTTGACCGCCAGTATCGGTGCTTTTTGCCGTCGAAAAATGTGGTGGTCGTCGACCAAGTCGAGCCTGCGTGGCTCAGTGGTAGAGCATCTGTCTTGTAAACAGAAGGTCCCCGGATCAATCACGGGCGGAGGCATGCCGGTCACACGCTGCTACTGTACCCGACTGGGTCAGGACGGGACTGGGCAGCTCGAAAGCGCCTATTGTTGGTTCCATTTCTTTTGGACGATTATCCACGATTATTGGGTTGGGTCATCCAGAAAGGAGCACCCTGGCTCTCGCTCCACAAAGTACGCCTGCAAATGAACAAAGAGACGGGAATTGATGGATGATGCTCCATCTGACCAGAACTTCAATGAGAAGACAGGAAAGCTGCTGTTCATCTTCACTGAAGTGTGACAGCCTTTACAATCTGATCTACATGTGCGAGGTCCGAAGATTCGGTACCTGGTTTCGTTTCAGTCTGAATCACAAAAGACTTTACTCAGGAGTCTTTTGCGAGTCGGCCAGGAGTAGATTGTCCATTCGGCGGCATGTACGTGGAGAGGACGTGCGGGATATGTCCGTCGTGTTGATGCGTTTGCATAGGAGTGGTCTCGGCCGCCAGTATCGGTGCTTTTTGCCGTTGAAAATGTGGTGGTCGTCGACCAAGTCGAGCCTGCGTGGCTCAGTGGTAGAGCATCTGTCTTGTAAACAGAAGGTCCCCGGATCAATCACGGGCGGAGGCATGCCGGTCACACGCTGCTACTGTACCCGACTGGGTCAGGACGGGACTGGGCAGCTCGAAAGCGTCTATTGTTGGTTCCATTTCTTTTGGACGATTATCCACGATTATTGGGTTGGGTCATCCAGAAAGGAGCACCCTGGCTCTCGCTCACAAAGTACGCCTGCAAATGAACAAAGAGACGGGAATTGATGGATGATGCTCCATCTGACCAGAACTTCAATGAGAAGACAGGAAAGCTGCTGTTCATCTTCACTGAAGTGTGACAGCCTTTACAATCTGATCTACATGTGCGAGGTCTGAAGATTCGGTACCTGGTTTCGTTTCAGTCTGAATCACAAAAGACTTTACTCAGGAGTCTTTTGCGAGTCGGCCAGGCGTAGATTGTCCATTCGGCGGCATGCACGTGGAGAGGACGTGCGGGATATGTCTGTCGTGTTGATGCGTTTGCATAGGAGTGGTCTTGACCGCCAGTATCGGTGCTTTTGCCGTCGAAAATGTGGTGGTCGTCGACCAAGTCGAGCCTGCGTGGCTCAGTGGTAGAGCATCTGTCTTGTAAACAGAAGGTCCCCGGATCAATCCCGGGCGGAGGCATGCCGGTCACACGCTGCTACTGTACCCGACTGGGTCAGGACGGGACTGGGCAGCTCGAAAGCGCCTATTGTTGGTTCCATTTCTTTTGGACGATTATCCACGATTATTGGGTTGGGTCATCCAGAAAGGAGCACCCTGGCTCTCGCTCACAAAGTACGCCTGCAAATGAACAAAGAGACGGGAATTGATGGATGATGCTCCATCTGACCAGAACTTCAATGAGAAGACATGCAAGCTGCTGTGTTCATCTTCACTGAAGTGTGACAGCCTTTACAATCTGATCTACATGTGCGAGGTCCGAAGATTCGGTACCTGGTTTCGTTTCAGTCTGAATCACAAAAGACTTTACTCAGGAGTCTTTTGCGAGTCGGCCAGGCGTAGATTGTCCATTCGGCGGCATGCACGTGGAGAGGACGTGCGGGATATGTCTGTCGTGTTGATGCGTTTGCATAGGAGTGGTCTTGACCGCCAGTATCGGTGCTTTTTGCCGTCGAAAAATGTGGTGGTCGTCGACCAAGTCGAGCCTGCGTGGCTCAGTGGTAGAGCATCTGTCTTGTAAACAGAAGGTCCCCGGATCAATCACGGGCGGAGGCATGCCGGTCACACGCTGCTACTGTACCCGACTGGGTCAGGACGGGACTGGGCAGCTCGAAAGCGCCTATTGTTGGTTCCATTTCTTTTGGACGATTATCCACGATTATTGGGTTGGGTCATCCAGAAAGGAGCACCCTGGCTCTCGCTCACAAAGTACGCCTGCAAATGAACAAAGAGACGGGAATTGATGGATGATGCTCCATCTGACCAGAACTTCAATGAGAAGACAGGAAAGCTTCTGTGTTCATCTTCACTGAAGTGTGACAGCCTTTACAATCTGATCTACATGTGCGAGGTCCGAAGATTCGGTACCTGGTTTCGTTTCAGTCTGAATCACAAAAAGACTTTACTCAGGAGTCTTTTGCGAGTCGGCCAGGAGTAGATTGTCCATTCGGCGGCATGCACGTGGAGAGGACGTGCGGGATATGTCTGTCGTGTTGATGCGTTTGCATAGGAGTGGTCTTGACCGCCAGTATCGGTGCTTTTTGCCGTCGAAAAATGTGGTGGTCGTCGACCAAGTCGAGCCTGCGTGGCTCAGTGGTAGAGCATCTGTCTTGTAAACAGAAGGTCCCCGGATCAATCACGGGCGGAGGCATGCCGGTCACACGCTGCTACTGTACCCGACTGGGTCAGGACGGGACTGGGCAGCTCGAAAGCGCCTATTGTTGGTTCCATTTCTTTTGGACGATTATCCACGATTATTGGGTTGGGTCATCCAGAAAGGAGCACCCTGGCTCTCGCTCACAAAGTACGCCTGCAAATGAACAAAGAGACGGGAATTGATGGATGATGCTCCATCTGACCAGAACTTCAATGAGAAGACAGGAAAGCTGCTGTTCATCTTCACTGAAGTGTGACAGCCTTTACAATCTGATCTGCATGTGCGAGGTCTGAAGATTCGGTACCTGGTTTCGTGACGCTCTGAATCACAAAAGACTTTACTCAGGAGTCTTTTGCGAGTCGGCCAGGCGTAGATTGTCCATTCGGCGGCATGCACGTGGAGAGGACGTGCGGGATATGTCTGTCGTGTTGATGCGTTTGCATAGGAGTGGTCTTGACCGCCAGTATCGGTGCTTTTTGCCGTTGAAAATGTGGTGGTCGTCGACCAAGTCGAGCCTGCGTGGCTCAGTGGTAGAGCATCTGTCTTGTAAACAGAAGGTCCCCGGATCAATCACGGGCGGAGGCATGCCGGTCACACGCTGCTACTGTACCCGACTGGGTCAGGACGGGACTGGGCAGCTCGAAAGCGTCCTATTGTTGGTTCCATTTCTTTTGGACGATTATCCACGATTATTGGGTTGGGTCATCCAGAAAGGAGCACCCTGGCTCTCGCTCACAAAGTACGCCTGCAAATGAACAAAGAGACGGGAATTGATGGATGATGCTCCATCTGACCAGAACTTCAATGAGAAGACAGGCAAGCTGCTGTGTTCATCTTCACTGAAGTGTGACAGCCTTTACAATCTGATCTACATGTGCGAGGTCCGAAGATTCGGTACCTGGTTTCGTTTCAGTCTGAATCACAAAAGACTTTACTCAGGAGTCTTTTGCGAGTCGGCCAGGAGTAGATTGTCCATTCGGCGGCATGCACGTGGAGAGGACGTGCGGGATATGTCTGTCGTGTTGATGCGTTTGCATAGGAGTGGTCTTGACCGCCAGTATCGGTGCTTTTTGCCGTCGAAAAATGTGGTGGTCGTCGACCAAGTCGAGCCTGCGTGGCTCAGTGGTAGAGCATCTGTCTTGTAAACAGAAGGTCCCCGGATCAATCACGGGCGGAGGCATGCCGGTCACACGCTGCTACTGTACCCGACTGGGTCAGGACGGGACTGGGCAGCTCGAAAGCGTCCAGTGTTGGTTTCATTTCTTTTGGACGATTATCCACGATTATTGGGTTGGGTCATCCAGAAAGGAGCACCCTGGCTCTCGCTCACAAAGTACGCCTGCAAATGAACAAAGAGACGGGAATTGATGGATGATGCTCCATCTGACCAGAACTTCAATGAGAAGACAGGAAAGCTTCTGTGTTCATCTTCACTGAAGTGTGACAGCCTTTACAATCTGATCTACATGTGCGAGGTCCGAAGATTCGGTACCTGGTTTCGTTTCAGTCTGAATCACAAAAGACTTTACTCAGGAGTCTTTTGCGAGTCGGCCAGGAGTAGATTGTCCATTCGGCGGCATGCACGTGGAGAGGACGTGCGGGATATGTCTGTCGTGTTGATGCGTTTGCATAGGAGTGGTCTTGACCGCCAGTATCGGTGCTTTTTGCCGTCGAAAAATGTGGTGGTCGTCGACCAAGTCGAGCCTGCGTGGCTCAGTGGTAGAGCATCTGTCTTGTAAACAGAAGGTCCCCGGATCAATCACGGGCGGAGGCATGCCGGTCACACGCTGCTACTGTACCCGACTGGGTCAGGACGGGACTGGGCAGCTCGAAAGCGCCTATTGTTGGTTCCATTTCTTTTGGACGATTATCCACGATTATTGGGTTGGGTCATCCAGAAAGGAGCACCCTGGCTCTCGCTCACAAAGTACGCCTGCAAATGAACAAAGAGACGGGAATTGATGGATGATGCTCCATCTGACCAGAACTTCAATGAGAAGACAGGAAAGCTGCTGTTCATCTTCACTGAAGTGTGACAGCCTTTACAATCTGATCTACATGTGCGAGGTCCGAAGATTCGGTACCTGGTTTCGTTTCAGTCTGAATCACAAAAGACTTTACTCAGGAGTCTTTTGCGAGTCGGCCAGGAGTAGATTGTCCATTCGGCGGCATGCACGTGGAGAGGACGTGCGGGATATGTCTGTCGTGTTGATGCGTTTGCATAGGAGTGGTCTTGACCGCCAGTATCGGTGCTTTTTGCCGTCGAAAAATGTGGTGGTCGTCGACCAAGTCGAGCCTGCGTGGCTCAGTGGTAGAGCATCTGTCTTGTAAACAGAAGGTCCCCGGATCAATCACGGGCGGAGGCATGCCGGTCACACGCTGCTACTGTACCCGACTGGGTCAGGACGGGACTGGGCAGCTCGAAAGCGTCCAGTGTTGGTTCCATTTCTTTGGACGATTGTCCACGATTATTGGGTTGGGTCATCCAGAAAGGAGCACCCTGGCTCTCGCTCACAAAGTACGCCTGCAAATGAACAAAGAGACGGGAATTGATGGATGATGCTCCATCTGACCAGAACTTCAATGAGAAGACAGGAAAGCTGCTGTTCATCTTCACTGAAGTGTGACAGCCTTTACAATCTGATCTACATGTGCGAGGTCCGAAGATTCGGTACCTGGTTTCGTTTCAGTCTGAATCACAAAAGACTTTACTCAGGAGTCTTTTGCGAGTCGGCCAGGAGTAGATTGTCCATTCGGCGGCATGCACGTGGAGAGGACGTGCGGGATATGTCTGTCGTGTTGATGCGTTTGCATAGGAGTGGTCTTGACCGCCAGTATCGGTGCTTTTTGCCGTCGAAAAATGTGGTGGTCGTCGACCAAGTCGAGCCTGCGTGGCTCAGTGGTAGAGCATCTGTCTTGTAAACAGAAGGTCCCCGGATCAATCACGGGCGGAGGCATGCCGGTCACACGCTGCTACTGTACCCGACTGGGTCAGGACGGGACTGGGCAGCTCGAAAGCGCCTATTGTTGGTTTCATTTCTTTTGGACGATTATCCACGATTATTGGGTTGGGTCATCCAGAAAGGAGCACCCTGGCTCTCGCTCACAAAGTACGCCTGCAAATGAACAAAGAGACGGGAATTGATGGATGATGCTCCATCTGACCAGAACTTCAATGAGAAGACAGGAAAGCTGCTGTTCATCTTCACTGAAGTGTGACAGCCTTTACAATCTGATCTACATGTGCGAGGTCCGAAGATTCGGTACCTGGTTTCGTTTCAGTCTGAATCACAAAAGACTTTACTCAGGAGTCTTTTGCGAGTCGGCCAGGAGTAGATTGTCCATTCGGCGGCATGCACGTGGAGAGGACGTGCGGGATATGTCTGTCGTGTTGATGCGTTTGCATAGGAGTGGTCTTGACCGCCAGTATCGGTGCTTTTTGCCGTCGAAAAATGTGGTGGTCGTCGACCAAGTCGAGCCTGCGTGGCTCAGTGGTAGAGCATCTGTCTTGTAAACAGAAGGTCCCCGGATCAATCACGGGCGGAGGCATGCCGGTCACACGCTGCTACTGTACCCGACTGGGTCAGGACGGGACTGGGCAGCTCGAAAGCGCCTATTGTTGGTTCCATTTCTTTTGGACGATTATCCACGATTATTGGGTTGGGTCATCCAGAAAGGAGCACCCTGGCTCTCGCTCACAAAGTACGCCTGCAAATGAACAAAGAGACGGGAATTGATGGATGATGCTCCATCTGACCAGAACTTCAATGAGAAGACAGGAAAGCTGCTGTTCATCTTCACTGAAGTGTGACAGCCTTTACAATCTGATCTACATGTGCGAGGTCCGAAGATTCGGTACCTGGTTTCGTTTCAGTCTGAATCACAAAAGACTTTACTCAGGAGTCTTTTGCGAGTCGGCCAGGAGTAGATTGTCCATTCGGCGGCATGCACGTGGAGAGGACGTGCGGGATATGTCTGTCGTGTTGATGCGTTTGCATAGGAGTGGTCTTGACCGCCAGTATCGGTGCTTTTTGCCGTCGAAAAATGTGGTGGTCGTCGACCAAGTCGAGCCTGCGTGGCTCAGTGGTAGAGCATCTGTCTTGTAAACAGAAGGTCCCCGGATCAATCACGGGCGGAGGCATGCCGGTCACACGCTGCTACTGTACCCGACTGGGTCAGGACGGGACTGGGCAGCTCGAAAGCGCCTATTGTTGGTTTCATTTCTTTTGGACGATTATCCACGATTATTGGGTTGGGTCATCCAGAAAGGAGCACCCTGGCTCTCGCTCACAAAGTACGCCTGCAAATGAACAAAGAGACGGGAATTGATGGATGATGCTCCATCTGACCAGAACTTCAATGAGAAGACAGGAAAGCTGCTGTTCATCTTCACTGAAGTGTGACAGCCTTTACAATCTGATCTACATGTGCGAGGTCCGAAGATTCGGTACCTGGTTTCGTTTCAGTCTGAATCACAAAAGACTTTACTCAGGAGTCTTTTGCGAGTCGGCCAGGAGTAGATTGTCCATTCGGCGGCATGCACGTGGAGAGGACGTGCGGGATATGTCTGTCGTGTTGATGCGTTTGCATAGGAGTGGTCTTGACCGCCAGTATCGGTGCTTTTTGCCGTCGAAAAATGTGGTGGTCGTCGACCAAGTCGAGCCTGCGTGGCTCAGTGGTAGAGCATCTGTCTTGTAAACAGAAGGTCCCCGGATCAATCACGGGCGGAGGCATGCCGGTCACACGCTGCTACTGTACCCGACTGGGTCAGGACGGGACTGGGCAGCTCGAAAGCGCCTATTGTTGGTTTCATTTCTTTTGGACGATTATCCACGATTATTGGGTTGGGTCATCCAGAAAGGAGCACCCTGGCTCTCGCTCACAAAGTACGCCTGCAAATGAACAAAGAGACGGGAATTGATGGATGATGCTCCATCTGACCAGAACTTCAATGAGAAGACAGGAAAGCTGCTGTTCATCTTCACTGAAGTGTGACAGCCTTTACAATCTGATCTACATGTGCGAGGTCCGAAGATTCGGTACCTGGTTTCGTTTCAGTCTGAATCACAAAAGACTTTACTCAGGAGTCTTTTGCGAGTCGGCCAGGAGTAGATTGTCCATTCGGCGGCATGCACGTGGAGAGGACGTGCGGGATATGTCTGTCGTGTTGATGCGTTTGCATAGGAGTGGTCTTGACCGCCAGTATCGGTGCTTTTTGCCGTCGAAAAATGTGGTGGTCGTCGACCAAGTCGAGCCTGCGTGGCTCAGTGGTAGAGCATCTGTCTTGTAAACAGAAGGTCCCCGGATCAATCACGGGCGGAGGCATGCCGGTCACACGCTGCTACTGTACCCGACTGGGTCAGGACGGGACTGGGCAGCTCGAAAGCGCCTATTGTTGGTTTCATTTCTTTTGGACGATTATCCACGATTATTGGGTTGGGTCATCCAGAAAGGAGCACCCTGGCTCTCGCTCACAAAGTACGCCTGCAAATGAACAAAGAGACGGGAATTGATGGATGATGCTCCATCTGACCAGAACTTCAATGAGAAGACAGGAAAGCTGCTGTTCATCTTCACTGAAGTGTGACAGCCTTTACAATCTGATCTACATGTGCGAGGTCCGAAGATTCGGTACCTGGTTTCGTTTCAGTCTGAATCACAAAAGACTTTACTCAGGAGTCTTTTGCGAGTCGGCCAGGAGTAGATTGTCCATTCGGCGGCATGCACGTGGAGAGGACGTGCGGGATATGTCTGTCGTGTTGATGCGTTTGCATAGGAGTGGTCTTGACCGCCAGTATCGGTGCTTTTTGCCGTCGAAAAATGTGGTGGTCGTCGACCAAGTCGAGCCTGCGTGGCTCAGTGGTAGAGCATCTGTCTTGTAAACAGAAGGTCCCCGGATCAATCACGGGCGGAGGCATGCCGGTCACACGCTGCTACTGTACCCGACTGGGTCAGGACGGGACTGGGCAGCTCGAAAGCGCCTATTGTTGGTTTCATTTCTTTTGGACGATTATCCACGATTATTGGGTTGGGTCATCCAGAAAGGAGCACCCTGGCTCTCGCTCACAAAGTACGCCTGCAAATGAACAAAGAGACGGGAATTGATGGATGATGCTCCATCTGACCAGAACTTCAATGAGAAGACAGGAAAGCTGCTGTTCATCTTCACTGAAGTGTGACAGCCTTTACAATCTGATCTACATGTGCGAGGTCCGAAGATTCGGTACCTGGTTTCGTTTCAGTCTGAATCACAAAAGACTTTACTCAGGAGTCTTTTGCGAGTCGGCCAGGAGTAGATTGTCCATTCGGCGGCATGCACGTGGAGAGGACGTGCGGGATATGTCTGTCGTGTTGATGCGTTTGCATAGGAGTGGTCTTGACCGCCAGTATCGGTGCTTTTTGCCGTCGAAAAATGTGGTGGTCGTCGACCAAGTCGAGCCTGCGTGGCTCAGTGGTAGAGCATCTGTCTTGTAAACAGAAGGTCCCCGGATCAATCACGGGCGGAGGCATGCCGGTCACACGCTGCTACTGTACCCGACTGGGTCAGGACGGGACTGGGCAGCTCGAAAGCGCCTATTGTTGGTTTCATTTCTTTTGGACGATTATCCACGATTATTGGGTTGGGTCATCCAGAAAGGAGCACCCTGGCTCTCGCTCACAAAGTACGCCTGCAAATGAACAAAGAGACGGGAATTGATGGATGATGCTCCATCTGACCAGAACTTCAATGAGAAGACAGGAAAGCTGCTGTTCATCTTCACTGAAGTGTGACAGCCTTTACAATCTGATCTACATGTGCGAGGTCCGAAGATTCGGTACCTGGTTTCGTTTCAGTCTGAATCACAAAAGACTTTACTCAGGAGTCTTTTGCGAGTCGGCCAGGAGTAGATTGTCCATTCGGCGGCATGCACGTGGAGAGGACGTGCGGGATATGTCTGTCGTGTTGATGCGTTTGCATAGGAGTGGTCTTGACCGCCAGTATCGGTGCTTTTTGCCGTCGAAAAATGTGGTGGTCGTCGACCAAGTCGAGCCTGCGTGGCTCAGTGGTAGAGCATCTGTCTTGTAAACAGAAGGTCCCCGGATCAATCACGGGCGGAGGCATGCCGGTCACACGCTGCTACTGTACCCGACTGGGTCAGGACGGGACTGGGCAGCTCGAAAGCGCCTATTGTTGGTTTCATTTCTTTTGGACGATTATCCACGATTATTGGGTTGGGTCATCCAGAAAGGAGCACCCTGGCTCTCGCTCACAAAGTACGCCTGCAAATGAACAAAGAGACGGGAATTGATGGATGATGCTCCATCTGACCAGAACTTCAATGAGAAGACAGGAAAGCTGCTGTTCATCTTCACTGAAGTGTGACAGCCTTTACAATCTGATCTACATGTGCGAGGTCCGAAGATTCGGTACCTGGTTTCGTTTCAGTCTGAATCACAAAAGACTTTACTCAGGAGTCTTTTGCGAGTCGGCCAGGAGTAGATTGTCCATTCGGCGGCATGCACGTGGAGAGGACGTGCGGGATATGTCTGTCGTGTTGATGCGTTTGCATAGGAGTGGTCTTGACCGCCAGTATCGGTGCTTTTTGCCGTCGAAAAATGTGGTGGTCGTCG